CCGAGGGTTGCGATCCCGTTGCCGGTCCCCGGTATGGGTGTGACACCGAGGGTTGCGATCCTGCTACTGGTCAGTAAAAAAGACAAAAAAAAAGGGGGAAAAAAATGGGTTTCCTGAAAGGCATTTTAGATGGCAGTTAATACTGAATTGTGTGAGACTTGATTAATAAAAAGGATGTTTTAAGAATTCCAGAAACAGCAACAAGTAGAATGGACCTCTCAAATACAGACCCATTTTCTCAGTAACACCGGATTCCAACATTTAACTACAGGTTCAACATGTAATACTTAATTTTTTCTGTTTTCTACTGCCAGATCCACAAATGTATTTACACACACACACACACGCACACACACACGCACGCACGCACGCACGCATATCCCCTCTAATTCTCTCCTTATGCCCTAAACTATTTTCTCTTAGAAATACTTGTCTTTCCTTGCTGCACTTATCAGGCCACTCAGGTACTGTGGCGAGTCTTGTGATTGTACGCTTCATTCAGCAAACAATTTTTTCATCTCCACATATTCCATTCCCTTCAGCTGCTTCTAGGTTCTCCTCTGGGAGTACTTCCCTCCCATTAGGCAGTGAGGTTCACTGTTGGGGCCCATTTGGGCACAAACCAGACCTTTTGTTGAGTTACTGTACTCCTACCTTCCTAATTATAGAATTTGAAGCAGAATGAGTGAATTAAACACGTGTATTTATTCCCCGCAGTGTCTGCGGAGGGAAGTGTAGTGCTGTGACATGCTTACAGTAGCACATACGCTTTCCCTCACCCTTGTCCTCCATTTTTGCTGTGTGACTCCACAGCAGCAAGAACGGAAGGTGCACTTTACTCACCAGTGAGTAAATCATGTGAATGGATGTTTTAAAGTACATGCCCAATACAGTTTACTGAGAGAACTATACTCTCAAAAGCTCTCTGAGAACACATGCTTGGAATTTGAAATTGTACTAAGTACTGTGTTTCCTCAGGTATCCTAGCTAAGGCAAAAGTGTATAGGCATAGCTGACATTTTAAACATCTGCTGTTACATTTAATTTCCCCAATCAGAGGAATCTTCGGTGTTTGATTCTGTAGCCCTTCAGTGCAGGCAAATACTTAGATTGTTAGCACCAGAGAGACACAATACTAGATTACCAAAAGGCTGTGGAAATCACTTCCCTTTGCCTAATAATGAGAAGTATTCTGATTCATTCTGACTTGCGGGAAGCAGTCTTTGTTCCTTTGGACTCATGTGACAGTCTGTATTTTCAGGTTCATACAGGTTGACATGGAACAAACGATGGAGTCAAAGATTCCTGATTCAGAACTTAGTGGTTGGGGAAGTTGGAGAATTCACATTTTTTAAAATCAGCTGCCAATTTGATTAAGATTTTTTGTAGAAAGATTCATATTTTAGACATAATGCTGGGTAGGTTAAGGGTGAGAATTAACTCTCTGAAATGTAAACACTTCGATTAGGTTGGCAGATTTCACTAAGCTTTTTTAGGGAAGAAAATACTAGCATGAAAGAAAGAAATATGGAAGTTATTACAAAAATGAGTGGCAAGTGTAAGGTAATGACTTAAATAATGAACTATTAATGTTATAGGTTGAAAATATAATTTGCACAAAAAGTAAGAACTCCATCACATGGTGCTATGGGTAACTAGGATGCTTTGTAGATTGCATAACTAAAAGAATCACTTTTTCTTCCCAGATTATAGTCGTAGGAGCCCCACTCAGAGGCAGAGTACTAGGCTGGATGGACTGTGATTCTAACCCTCATAGAACAATTCTTTTTAGACAGGTTTCTTTCCTGTCTTCCCCTAGGAAGTAAATGAAAGTTGATATAATTCCAACTCATTGGTTTTTTCTGTTTGTTTGATAGTTTTTTAAAGCAAAAGCAAAGTGAAAAAAATAAGAGTTTTCTCCTTGGGGCATTGTTTTTTAGACTTTAAGTTTATCCTCAGACATGAACCATGTTATGCTGTATTTTTTTCCATATAAATGTGATGTCCAGATGTCTGACATTTAATTCAGTACTATGAGGCTCATTATGTGTATCCATATATGAAACCCATTTTATAAAAAATTAATAAATGCTTTCTCTTGGGTATTAGTTTTATTCTGCCATCAGTGCAAGACATATTTAAATAATGTGTGTTTAAAAAAAACACTTCTACACTAAAAAAAATGTATTAAAGAGTAGACAAATTGAAATTCACATCATACTCATAACAGACTCTAATACTCCTTGCTCCATAATTACTTTCAACTTCATTTTTTAGTACCCAAAATAAAATGAAGGCCGAGGTACTAGATAATTCTCAAGAGGAATTTTTTCAGGTTCTGGTGCCTGTTATCACTGTGCTGCATTTAACTGTGAAATAGCAGATGTGAAATAAACTGTAAATGAATTATACATATGTTCCATATTTGCCATTTATTTTTACCAATAATTGATTTTTTTCAGCCATTGATCTTATCAATAATTTGCTGCAAGTAAAAATGAGAAAGCGCTATAGCGTGGATAAGACCTTGAGTCATCCTTGGTTACAGGTAAAAATCAATCATTGATTCTTCTCAGTTGAACGGGCTTCTAAATATTTTAATATTATATGTGGGAATTCTTTGTGATATTTTTTTAAAGGGTAATTCTAATATCAATTTGTTTGCCAAAATGCATGCAGCTCCTTAGGATTTAACAACAGTTTAGTGCTTCTAAACCTTTCTCTACTAGGAAAATTTGACAGGAGAGATACACATATATGTACACATGCACCAAAACCACAAAACAAAACAAAAAACCCAAGGATCATAACAGAACTTAGAGGGCCAGGTTTCAAAAGCATCTCTATGTGTAATCCTAATAAATGTCCAAATACAGGCCCATCTGATCATGAACTGTACTCATTTGGAAGCTGTATTTTTAAATCCTAGGCCATCATACATGGAGCAAATGCATGGCAAATGTAAAGCATGTGCACGAGCTTGTGTTCTCTTAAATATTTATTTTCACATTAAACTTAAAGCTTAGAAAAATGATACTCTGAAATACTGAAGGATTATTTGTAGGCATTCAATTTCAAAGGAATACCACCATTCCTAATTGCTTGGCTGCAAGCATTAATTGCCCACTTTCTGATCCGTGGTGTCATATAAACAGTATGTATTTGCAAAGGTTAGGCAAATAGGATGGCTTCAGTGCTGATGCTGTCACTTGAGGATATGTGATGAAAGATGTAGCACTGTTAGAGTGGAAGAAAAAAGGGTAACTCATAGATTGTGGGAACTGACAACATATGAAACAGCCTGTGGAGTTGTAATGATCTCTATAGTAATATTTTGGAATTTCTTCTTCAGGACTATCAGACCTGGTTAGATTTACGAGAGCTGGAATGCAAAATCGGGGAACGCTATATCACACATGAAAGCGACGACTCCAGGTGGGAGCAGTATGCAGGTGAGCAGGGGCTGCAGTACCCTGCACACCTGATCAATCCAAGTGCTAGCCACAGTGACAGTCCCGAGAGTGAAGAAACAGAGATGAAAGTCCTCAGTGAGCGTGTCAGCATCCTCTGAGTTCCATCCCCTATAATCTGTCAAAACACTGTGGAATTAATAAATACATACGGTCAGGTTTAACATTTGCCTTGCAGAACTGCCATTATTTTCTGTCAGATGAGAACAAAGCTGTTAAACTGTTAGCACTGTTGATGTAACTGAGTTGCCAAGACAAATCAACAGAAGCATTTGTATTTTGTGTGACCAACTGTGTTGTATTAACAAAAGTTCCCTGAAACACTAAACTTGTTATTGTGAATGATTCATGTTATATTTAATGCATTAAACCTGTCTCTACTGTGCCTTTGCAAATCAGTGTTTTTCTTACTGGAGCCTCCTTTTGGTAAGAGACAGAACCTATCCATGAAATTGTTCTGTGCAGTGTGTCCCACTGGTGGTGTCGTTGTAAACAAACTCTTGAAGAGTGGATGTATTACCAGTGTTCTATGAACAACTCATGTGGAAAAACAAATAATGGGAGGGGAGGTATAAAATTCTAAGACATAAATGCATGAAAGAGTTTTACTGTATAGTTTCAACTCCTTGGCCTGCCTGATGTGCCTCAGTATGTTGATACTCAACTAAATGCACCGAGGCACACAGGGTCTACTGCTCTTAAGCCTAAATGCCTTAGAAATGTAAACTGCCATATATAACATATATTTCCCCCTTTCTTATGATATCCTGCTGTAATGTGGAAAATCAGCAGCTAAGCAAACTTTTGCCTTTGTGTATTTTTCAATAAGAACAAATAAATATTCTTGTCAAAATATGCATCCATCTGATTGAATTATTTCCATATATAGTCCACACTAGTATTTTCAGGCCAATTAGGAAGAGAGGTATCTGCTCAAAAGCAGAAAAAAGTCTAATGATTGAGAATTTACCCTTTTCTACTCTGAAGTGGTAAAAGTATGTTTCAAAGTGGAGTGAAGCCATTCTGTCTTGCACGTCATCTTGTTTCCAATAGAAAAAAAGGCTTTCAAGGGATAAAATAACCAGAGCCAAACAGGATACTTTGAGGCAAAAGTAAGAATATTGCAAGTAGCAGTTTCAGTGTGGCTTCCTGATTTAGTCCATATAAGCTAGGAATTTACTAGAATACTGGCTTTAGTTTCTTTTTGTATTATCTAAACAAGACAGATCTGAGGTGAACTACAGAAGCACATAAAGACTAGAAAATAATCCCTACAGAGAAAGCCAACTCAAGATTCTACAGCCTAGAGAACAGAAAGCTGACATTGGATCTCATAGGCTATCTGTGTGGAGTGGATAATGTCTCTAGGGGTACTCTACAGCCTAGAGAACAGAAAGCTGACATTGGATCTCATAGGCTATCTGTGTGGAGTGGATGTTTCTAGGGGTACTGTGTGTGTGTGTGTGTGTATACCCAAGTGAATATGCATACACAAGCATACAGACACATATCAAATTGACAGAGTAGAATATGTTAATCAGTAAGACAATGACCTTTTTGCCAGCCTAGGGATATCATTGGCACCTTTTCTATGTATGACAAGAGACTCAGTAAGCAATTTCAGGAAGGAGGAAACGGAGTGAAAGCATTTAAATCCCATCCCTCTGAGTATGCACATAATATAAATTAAAGGATCATAATTTAAATATGGATATTAAGTTTATATGCCTACCTTTTATCAGCGGTGATATAAAACATAATCAATACATTTTCTTGTTATGGGATCCTAAAATAATTATAGGATGAAAAACTATGATAATCTGATCATATGTTTTAAAAGACCCTAGAGTTCTTGACGATTGGGAAGAGGAACCTAATGTAAATCACTGTACTTTATAAAGCCACACGAAAGTCAGTTATTTGTGCCACCAAAATTCAGTGAACTGCTTACACAGCTCTCTGCTAGACTCTTAAGATTTTAAAATGTGAATAAGACATGGTCCCTGCCCAAAAGAGTTTAGTATCTATAAGATAGAAACAAACAATAAATTGTTGGTGCTTTTAGAAAATAATATGTAAAGATATGAGGCATCACGTAGAGCAATCAACTCAATAATGGAGGGAAGAAAGCAACTGAGTGCTATTTGAGCAGAACTTGAAAAATGAGCAGGTGGTATATATCAGGCTAAAAATAGAAAATATGAATAAAGATATGAAGATCAACAGTGCACTGTTATACAGCCAAAAGTAGGTAGTTGTAGCAGGTGAATAAAGGTGAGAAAGAACTGGGGAAATACATCCAGTAGACACTGATCATGGTCTAAGTTCAAGATGTTATTCTATGGATTTGAATTTGTTCTGTGTAAATCTCGGAAACCATTCAGACTTTTTAAGCTGCAGAGTAAGCAACATCAGTAAGTTCACTCTGCCAGTAACACGGAGACATTAAAGCCAAGCCAATGTTGCAGGGCCAGAAGACCTGCTAAACTACTGTAACAACATACGGGATGATGAGGGCCTGCACTAAACCAGCAGTAAGTAGGAAGATAGGTGAAGAGGTCCATGTAAGGGATGTTAGTAGGTGTAATCAATGGGACTTTGTTACTGATAGGAGTCTATGGAAGAATTCTGGAATTGAACATACGGATTTGGAAGTCAACAGCCCAGAATATGTTGATGAGAATGAGTCTGATTCCTAGGGAGATATGAACATAACAAGAAGGAAAGTGATCTTAGGGCACAAGCCTGAGAAATATCAATAAGAAAGGATCAGTGAGAATAAGAGGAAAATTGAAAAGGAGTGTTTGAAGACAGAATCAAATAGAGTGACATTATGGAAATCAAGAGAAGAGGTAATTTCAGGGATGATGTGGTTAACAGTAGAAAATGCTTTGGAGACAGAATGGTTTCAGCCTTTCGGGTGACACCCTTACTATTTCAGCAGTTTATAGTAAACAGGACTGTTCTCCTGCTGCATTCAGAGTAGCCATGTCAAAAGGATGTGTGGCAATGAAATTGACCCAACCCATTCAGTGCCATTAAGCATAGGAAAGAGAAAGTGCCGATGTCCAGAAAAAAGTGGGCTGCTAAAGGTCATGTCACTTTTTCCACCGAGAATGTTAGTGATGCTGCAAAGACTCCAATTTCATTGAATCAGCACCCACTTTTTATGCTAAATATCATCAGTCTAGTTGTCCTGACTTCACAATAATGGTATATTATAGTATTAAATGACATGCGCAGGTCAGTAGTCTATGTCTAATACAAGAAGCAGGCCAACATAAAATATCTTCTATCATTCTGACAAAAGTAAGGGAAATGACAGAAGCCTGTTTTAGAAAGGCCGTGTCCTCTATTATTGTTACAGAGGAAATAATCCTCAAACAATGACATTTTCAGCCTACCCAAGATCCATAAAAATTGCTGGTCTCTATGTATCCTGAGCCATCGGGGCGAACTACCGCAATTTTTCCTTTTGGCCTGAGTAAGAGGAGAGTGCTGAGAGAAATATTTTGATCAGTAATGCTTTCGATATGTCCATTATCCCTACGGAAGAAATGATCATTGAGTGTTGTGGATATCCACACTGATGGAGACTATATTGAGAAATACATGGTCAGCCGTTTTACTGAATGTGGGTAATAAGTACAGCAATGAATGCAATGCAATAATACATCTGTTCTGCTCTCTTCACCATTATCCACCCAAAACTAATTTTGACTACCTCTGTAAAGTAATTATGTTTTGCATACCTTTTGTTGAGCCCGTTTTAAGGAACCAAATTCTGGTTCATCACTAAGGCCCATGGGGAAGGGCCTTCTGCTTGTAGTTGTCAAAAAGGAACAAGCCCCCTCAACAGAGCCTTTCTTTTTTTTTTTTTTTTTTTCTTTTGTCGTGTCTGGCAATGGATTGCAACCCTCAGTGTCGCGCCCGTAACGGACCAGGACCGGCAACGGGATCACAACCCTCGGTGTTGCCCCCACACCTCGCCCAGCCAGTGAGCGGGAACCGGTCCGTATGTGGGATCCGAACCCTCAGCGGGAGCGCCACCACGCTCCCAAGCGGTGCACTGTAGCAGTGCGCCACCGGGCCGGCCCCAACAGAGCCTTTCCATTGCCTGAAACATCTTCTCTCCACCTCCCCGACTTTGCTGTGTTAACTCCGATTCATCCTTTTACCATTTGTTTGCCCTTTGTCTCTTGTCTCTTTTTTTCCTCTGCTCCTGCTTAACTGCCTCTTTTGTGCTAGATAAATATGTTTAGTGTGACATTTTAATTTCTTTGTTGGGTTTTTACTATTTGTTTTATTCTCTTAATGGTTGCTCCTTGGATTATAACACAAAGAGTACTTCAAAAAGTTCATGGAAAAATAGAATTGAAAAGTAATAGGAATCTTCCCATGAATTTTTTGAAGACCCCTTATATGCAGTTTTACTTATCACTGTCTACTTCAAATTAATTCTAACTTAATTCTAGTGAAATGTACAAATTTTGCTGCAATAGAGCTTCATTTCCTCCACCCTCCTTTATGATATTATTGTCATATATTACAGCTTTATGTGGTACAAGCCCAATAATACTGCTTTATGCAATTATCTCATATCGGTTGAGAGAAGAAAGGAAAAAAATATGCGATCTTTTATATTTACCTACCTTTTCCATTGCTTTTTATTGACTCATGCAAATTCAAAGTACAATCTAGTGTCATTTCTATTCTGCTGGAATAACTTTCTTTAGTGTTTCTTTAAGGCAGGTCTGCTAGCAGTATCTGGGAATGTCTTTGCTTTACCTTTGTGTTTTTGAAGGAAAGTTCTGCTGGATATAAAATTCTTGGTTTACAGGTTTTTTCTTTCAATATTTTGAACATGTCAGCCCATTGTCGTTTAGCCTCTATTGTCTCTGATGAGAGATTGTTTTTAATCTTGCGTTCCCTTGTATGAGAGAATTGTTTTTGTCTTGCTACTTTCAATATATTCTTTGTTTTGCACCAGTTTGAGTCTAGGTGTGGTTTTCCTTGTGATTAGCTTCCTTCAGTTTGTTGAGCTCCTTGGATGTGTGTGGAATATACTATAAAACATATGTACTTCACAGGGCCTGGTTTTCCAAAGCCTTGCAGTTTCAAATATTGACCTTGTGGAGGACAGGAAATTTCCCTCAGGCTATAAGTCTCTGTTGCAAGATAAGGATTGTGGCACAGAAGGTGCTGACTCAAAGACAGACTAGTTACTGATTGTTATGTAAAGATACTGAGAAACTCCTGTTAAGAAGGAATGTTTGCTAAGATCAAACTGTTGTTGATAGGACCACTTAATTGCCTTACTGGAATGTCATCTGGCTTGTTTCACTGAAAGTTACCAGCCTATACTGTTAAACTATAACCCCACCGATGTCTCTTCCTGTAACTTCCCGGTCTAGAAAATAAATGCAGGAAGAGAACCCCAATTTGGCATTAATTTCCCGAGGAAGGGAAGTTAACCACTTCAGGGCTTCTCACTGCTCAGAAGAGATGGGCTTTGAGTAATCCTTTCATCTCTGTCATCCAGGGGAAGTGGGGTGACAAATCCGTGGGGGGCAAAGCAATGCAAAGCAATAGATGTGTAAATAAATATTTTCCAATATAGGGAAATTTAGGCCATTGTTTTTTCAAATACTTTTTGTCCATTTATCTCTCTCCTTTTTATCTGGGACTCCATTACATAAAATTTTTTTATGCTTTGGTACGTGCCAGATGATTCTGAGACTTTGATTTGATTTTTCTTTTTTTCATTCTTTTTCTTTCTGTTGTTCAGATTAGATAATCTGTATTAATCTATCTTCAGGTTCAGTGGTTCTTTTTTCTGCCAGATGAAATCTGCT